TGTCGATTTGGACTATATTAGACTAGGTTATGTTAGATTATATTGGATTAGGCTCCGCCTAGTTATTGTTAGTGTACGGGTAATTTAGTGTTAGATGGGGTTAGTTTAGTGTCAGGCAAAATGAGGTCACGTTCAGGTCAGTTGCGCTTGTTTGTATTCCTGTGATATTATTCCGTCAACCACCTACCCAGCAACCACCCACCACCCAACTCCACTCACTTCATTCCAGCGCTCCTACTTATCCCTCCTTACATCCCCACCTCCCGCAACACTGCCATTTATAAGCCTGTCGATCAAAGCGACCCGCTGTGTAAGACGCTGTCAGGTTCAGAAGTTCAGTCAACAGCCAGCATAGTCCACCGTCATACACACGTCGTTCTGCACCTTACAGTTGTACTGCTGAAGAACTCAAGATGAAGCTGTTGATGTTCACTGTAGTGTTATGTGTGGTGAGTAGTGTGAGGTGTGTATGTGTGTGTGTGTGTGCTATAGATTGTGTTGGTTGGTTTAGTAGTGTGTGGTATGTATATAACTATATAAGGTAATGTGCTTGTTATAAACGCTTCCCCCTTTCATCTGTTCACAGTCAGTGATGGTGGCAGTGTCACGTTCGGGACAGTCTGATCGAAATGGATCGTAAGTAATAGTTACATCTGCTCGAGTCAATCCTTCATTTATAAGTTCGGCTTGTTAATACTTGTAGGTAAACTACTAAACATGTACTTCTTTAAATATTAATAATAATAATAATAATATTATTATTATTATTATTATTATTATTATTATTATTATTATTATTATTATTATTATTATTATTATTATTATTATTATTATTATTATTATTATTATTATTATTATTATTATTATTATTATTATTATTATTATAGCTTAAAGCTCCTATATTGCTTTATATAATCAAGGGTCACAGGTCTTGTTAAAATTTATTGTCATTCAAAAATATCCCAGACCACTTAGAGATGTGAAGATTCATATATTGATCTTAAGTCAATAATTTGTTTTAAGAATCATACTTAAGCTCCTGGAGGATTAAGAATAGTTCCTACTGGTAGTGGGGCAGACGTGTGTCCTCCTGTTGGTGACAATGGGTACTCTTGCAACCAGACCTGTGAGTCTCACTCACAGTGTGATGACGAATTGTACTGCTGTGAGGTCGACTGTGGCAAAACCTGCCTGACCAGATTTCAGGCAAAACAATCGTGAGTTCCTAAAGCATAATTCATAGTTTTGTTATAAAATGTTTCTGTTACTATCAACACTCTACTTAAGAGATGTGACTTGTTAGTAACATCTGTCAGGTGTAGAGCCAAATATTCAGTAGAACAGATAGAAGAGGAAGTGGCGTAAAGTTTGTCATGTCTAGTTACGATGTGTGTCAGTTACTGTGTTAATAAGTGTACAAACAGACAGCAGTCCAAGTTTCTACCTTAGAAGTGAAACTTAGTGTACAACTCCTATGGTTGTATGATGTAGCTCAAGGTTAATGAATACTTTACCTGGTTAGGGTGATATTTTGTATGCATTAGTTTAGTGGTATTACATCACGATCATAATACTTCACTTCCCAATACTACAGGCATAATGTCAGTGTAGTGATGATACACCTTACTTATATTACTTCACTATACAATACTACAATCATTATGTTAGTGTAGTGATGATACACCACACTTATAATATTTCACCCACAATATTTAAGTCATCAACTTAATGACTGACTAAGAAGAACATTTTCACTCATCCGCACTGACGTAGATTATAGCCAGTTCATGGTCACTCATAATGTTCATATCATGATTTCTTCCTCGATGGAGTTTTGTGAAACTTCCCAAACACATTAAAAATAAATCTGCAAAATTTAATGATAATTAAATGTCTCTGTGTGATTTATTATTAAACTAAGCAACTATTTCTTACAGCTAAGCTAACATGTTTGTTTTTACCTTCGTAAATAACGTAATAGACGCCATTCTTAGTCTTTACAAACACGATAATCCTTCCACAGGAAAGACTGTCCTCCACCTGACCCGGATTTAGCGTGTGTCCAATTTCTTCATCGCTGCAACAACGACAAGGACTGCAGAGGGGACAATGGTAATGGCGAAGGAAAGAATGGCGAAAGGGAGAATGGCGAAGGGGAGAATGGAAATGGGGAAAGCAGTAAAGGGGAAAATGGGGAAGGGGAAAATGGCGAAGGAGAGAATGGCGAGCGTCGCTGCTGTTTACACCCCAACTGCGGCAGAAGTTGTGTCAAGGTATAACAAACTACAACAAACTGATGAGTAATAGTAGTGATACACATCCTTGTGGTACCATCACATTTTACGGACAAATACACCGTTTAGATGAGTATTAAATCTGACCTTCACCAAGACTGAAAACTCCAGGCTGATAACATCTGTGTTCGTCCCCTGTGATGTGCTTGGCGCTTCCTTGAAATATTTTCTAACTTAGATCTGTGTACACAACAAAAAGTAAAGAAAAAAAATGATAGCATGGACTTTGGTACTCTCTCACTGAATTTTTATACAAGATAAAATGCCAGGTAAAAGAAAACCAAGAACACACCTTCTGTATGTTAGGGGAGGAGACAATGTTCTGGTGATTTTCCTTGTGGTATTAACTCGCCTACTGTTATGTGTAACTTAAGGTTTATCCGATTGAGGGGCAATGATTTAAGATATAACCCTTTAAGGATGATGGTTTAAATCAAGGAGGTTGAATGGATGGAGGCGGCACCCGCTGCCTCAGGTGAAGTCACGGAGTGACCTGATGCCTTTGCCAATATGGCAGCGCTTTTCTCTCAGTGACTTCATCCTCCTTGTTTGATCCCTCTATAATGTGCATAATAAATAAAACAATAGTATGAATCCTGCATAGTTATTTGCAATCAACGTTTCTTCGTAAGTAGCTGCAGCAACTGTGACCTTGTTGCCCTGACCAAGATGGCAGCCTGGTTTCACGTGCCTCTGTTACATACACAGCGAACACCGCCTCCATCCATTCAACCTCCATGGTTTAAATTATAACGCTTTGAGGATGAAGGCTTAAGCAATAACCCTTTATGGATGATGTTTTAGCCCATAACTCTTTTAAAATGGTGGTTGAAACTATAACCCTTTAAAGATGGTGGTTTAAAGTGTAACCCGTTTAAGATGGTGGTTTAAAATATAACCCTTGAAGGTAAAAGAACTGAAGGTAAACAACATGTCTGTCACTAGTGTAAATATATTCTATTTCATCGTTGTGCTCAATACATATATTTACTATTAATCTATATTATATTAATTGTTTATATATTTCAATATTAATACTTTTGTTCACTCATTTATTAATTTTAATCAGTTATTATTCCTATTAATATTTTGGTCTTCAATTTTTTGTTTCCTTGAGTTTCATCAACCATATTAATCATTATCCAGGTTTTATTTTAATTTTCTCTAAAAAATTATTATCAACCAAATAAAATCTTATACCTACAGAGATGGCTGCCACAATCCACTGAGGGGACGAGTGATAAGTGGAGGAGGAAGTAGTGATAAAAGGGGGAGGGTGTAGTGAGGAGGGGAGGAGAATGCAGGGAAGGAGGGAGGAAGACAGAGGAGAAGACGAGAGGAAAGAAGAATAGTGAGGAGGGGAAGAGAGAAAAGGAGAGAGGACCTGGAGGAGGGAGGAGTAAGGAGTACAGGTGGGGGGGGAGATGTGTTTTATACTGACAGCTCTACAACTTGCGGCTGCTGTGTAATAATACTACTCAACACATCTGGGTAACATAACGTAGTGTGATGGCTGCACAGTCGTCCATGTACAGTATTTCAACTTCAGTGTTTATATAAGTATCCTTATTCCTGGTGTTAACAGTACCATCTTATGCGTTGTTTTGACTTTAGATGTGGTTTAACACTGTCTTGTATCTAAAGTCAAATAATTGTTGTGTAAATTAGTATTGGATTAACTTATGGTTTTTAATAAAGTTACATAACTGACTTTTGTCTCTGATACTTCCTCTTTTACATTATTTATTTCCTTTTATACAGTTTTACTTCCTTTTATGCAATACTAGCGGAATCGTCGCCCTCCGGGCGGCTCTTTCGCTAGGCCACGGTAGGACGCCACCCTCCGGGAGGCTCCACATTATCTCACTGTAGTGCATTAAGGTGTCTGCTTTGATCCTGACTTTGTACTCGTCAGAAGGCATGTTTTCCAGGGCATTTTTAAATGACTATACATACGTGTTGCGCTCATGCAACATTTCTTGGATTGATAGGACAATGTCATGTCTAACATCTTGAATGTTGCCACACCTGATAGTAGTCTGCTTTTCATGATCTCCCATGAAGTAGATTTCGAGGAACTTTGCCTGCTCATCTTCCAGTGGTAAGAGGGATCCTGCTTTGTGATAGAATTGACCCTGGACTTTGAATGTGGGGATATATCCGTGCTCACGAACTACTCTGGTAGCTCCAAAGGATGTCATCTGGAAGCATGAATTGTTCTTCCGTATATTTTCCAAGAAGTGTTTTGACTCTGGTGTTGTTCCCAGCATGAGAGTCTTCAATGGTTGTGGTGGTTTTTCCAAATTTGGCAGTCGTTCTTTCCCATGAGAGCAGCACAGTCCAGCAGATTCTCCTGTGTACTTCTTTGCACCGCAGTATTCACATTTCTTATCCATGTTGCCAATGACAACAGAGAGATACTTTTCATATTCTATATATAACATCATCCATCATCACCACTACATATAACACCACCCATCATCACTACATATAACATCATCCATCATCAGTACATATAACACCATCCATTATCACTACATATAGCACCATCCATCATCACTACATATAGCACCACCCAACATCACTACCTATAACAACATCCATCATCACTACATATAACATCATCCATCATCACTACATATAACACCATCCATCATCACTACATATAACACCATCCATCATCACTACAGATCGGTAAAGTAGTTTCCGAGATTCTCGTGCGGACACACACACACACACACACACAAACACACAAACACACAAACACTGAAGTTCCACGGATATGGTATGATCTCCCGTCTTTACTGCTATCCAACGTCACTCCCTAGCTAACAAGTTCGACGAGCTGGCAACTACAGTCAGGTCAACCGCCGCGAACGTCGTTGCCATATGTGAGGCTTGGCAAATTGTACCTGAAACGTGTCATATTGAGGGATATCAACTCTTTCATCACCTTCGTTCACAAAGACGCGGAGGGGGCGTTGCCCTCTTCTGTCAAGATGACCTACGCCCTTCACGCCTGGATGTTCAAGTCCCAGCAGATGTGGAAGCATTATGGGTACGTGTCGTGCTGCGGGCACACCCACGCAACACTGCCTCCATCATAATCTGTGTAGCATACCATCCGCCTCGATCACCCACCAGAGACACTCTTATCAATCATCTCATCACCACCTCAGACCACCTCAGAGTTAGGTACCCATGTGCCAAGTTAGTATTATGTGGGGATTTAAATGAAATTGACACCACTGATATCCAGGACCAGCTATCACTATCACAAGTCGTGACCTTCCCCACACACGGTCAAAACACCCTTGACCTTATCTTAACTGACTTAGCGGACCAGTACCAACCTCCTCAACCACTGCCTCCAATCGGGTGTAGCACACACTTATCAGTGCTCTGGTCCCCTGCTGCCACTCCCACTCAAGTACAGAGACCCTACATCAAGACCTACAGGCCGATTACTGACTCTGCAGTACGCCTCTTTGGACAGTGGATAGTTCACTATCCCTGGACTGAAGTACTCAGCGTGGATGACGTGGAAACCAAATGGATAAATTATACCAACACCACCACCGAAGCTCACCACCACCGAAGCTCACCACCACTTCTTCCCCGAGAAGTCCGTCAGATCTCACCCAGCTGACTTGCCCTGGATCACACCTCGGATCAAAAGACTTATGCAACAGAGAGACAGAGCATTTCATCTCAATGACCACATCCGCTACAGGTCACTTCGCAACAGAGTCATCCGCGAAATACGCACTGCAAAGAAGTCCCACTACCCAACCAAATTACAACACCTGAAGCAGACCAACATCAGTCAATGGTATGGTAAGCTTAAGGAACTCTGTGGACTAAACAATATGACACATCCCCTCCCCTTCCTCAGCCATCTCACTAATGTTGACGCAGCTGAGCAAACAAATAACCATTTCGCTACTATATGCCAGACGCTCCCACGGCTTGACACAACCACTCTCCCTGCTTACCTACCAGCCCCCCCTTCCCACTGACTTAGTAGAAGAATTTGACGTAGCAAAACGCCTGGACAAACTAAAATTAAAACGCTCTACCACCCCCATTGACTTACCAATGAAACTGTTCAAGGAGTTCTCCCCGGAGCTTGCTAAACCCCTCTGCTCCATCATCAATGCTTCTCTCAGTCAAGCCAGATGCCCAGCTGACTGGAAGACCTCTTATGTATCACCAGTGCCCAAGTCAACCAGCCCACAATCCTTAAATCAGCTACGACCTATTGCAATCACCCCAATACCCAGCCTAATCTGTGAAAGTTTTGTGTTTGACAGGGCTTATGCTGATATTGCAGGAGTCGTAGACCCTCAGCAATTTGGCAACATGAAAACTTCCTCCACCACTCACTGTCTTGTCAGCTTTCTCGATTACATATACCGCCATCTCGAGAAACGAAAAACGTCTGTAGCTGTCGCCTTCGTTGATTTCACTAAAGCGTTTGACCTAGTCGACCACAATATAATCATAAACAAAGCTATTGACCTCGGGCTTCGGAGAAATCTCATACCATGGCTTACAGACTTCCTCAGTGACCGACGCCAAGCTGTACGCTTCCGAGGGGCTGTCTCCACCTTTCAGTCACTCACCTGTGGCGTCCCCCAAGGCACCAAGATGGGACCACTCTGCTTCCTTATGCTCATCAATGATGCCCTAAGAGAAACCCCTGCTCGCTGGAAATATGTCGACGACTCCACCATTGGGATCAGCGTCAACAATTCTGCTCCCAACTATACCGCCCTTCAGGATTTATTGAACAGTCTCCAAAACTGGGCCACCAACAATCATGTCACCATCAACCATACCAAGACCATGGTTATGCACATCAACCTCTCCTCCGACATTGTCCCACCTCCCTCCATTACCCTAGGTCCGAACACACTCCAGGTTGTAGATTCCACGAAGCTCCTCGGCGTCACCATAGACAACAAACTAAATTGGAAACCACACGTCAGTGAAGTTGTCAAATCCTCCAGTTTCCGTCTCCACCTCCTCCGCCGACTCAAGTCCCTCGGAGTTCCCGCACACGAGCTCCTCAGTGTATACACAACATTCATACTTCCCAAGCTCACCTATGCCTCCCCCACCTGGTCTTCCTCTCTAAATGCCACACAACGTAAACACCTAGAAAAAGTGCAAAAGAGGGCATGCAAGATTATTCTCTCCCCTTCCTACACCACATATCAAGAAGCGCTCAACACACTGACCCTTTCGACTCTCACTGACCATCACCACGGCCTCATCTGCAAATTTGGTAAGAAGCTTCTACACCATCCCCGACACCGGCCCCTACTACCACCTGAGATCCCCTGTCCGAGAATTGTTGTTCGACACCACAACCGCATCCAGCCCATACGTGCACGAACTGATCGCTATAAGAACAGCCCAGTCCCAACCATTGTAAAAATTATCAATAACATGTAATAAATCAGTGTATCCACTCCCAGTAAACACTGCTCCCTACACTGTCACTATGTTGAAATGAACTGTATTTTGAGCTGATCCCCATCTAAGTTACTATATGTCTTATTTGTGTCACTTATGTCACTTGTATATTATTTGTAATTCGTAACCCATTCCCCAAATATGTAACTGTATATTTTCAGCCTTCTGGCTGCCAAGCTCTTTCAATAAACCGTTAATTATTATTATTATTATTATTATTACACACACATATATATATATATATATATATATATATATATATATATATATATATATATATATATATATATATATATATATATATATATATATATATGTAATGTTCAGAAATTTCAGTGTAATATTTAGAGACGCAATTAACAATATTGGCAATACTGAGTCATTCAAGGTCGTCTGAGGGATGGTGGCGCTGCCCGCGCATAGTGATAGTTTCTTGAACTGCACCCATATAATATTAAGGATACTCTGACAACTTAATATGAACGTGAATTATGAAATTAAATGACAGATATTAAATTAAAAGTTATTATAGATCGTCTCCCAGTCTGAAAATGTTGCGTAAGCCTTAATCTAAGCTATTAGTTGTGCGGAAAATAAATCCCTAGCGGGGTGAACGCCTTGTAGGAGCGCGTGTTTGGAGTTGTGAGGCAGTGGGCAAGCAGACATCAGTATTAACAAGTGAGTTTTATTCAATCTCAGACAGAGCTAGATAGGGCGGTAGGAACAAACAATGAGTCAGTGACGGTGATGTGAGACAATAGCTAACAAAGGGTATATTGCAGGGATTCTGTAGAGCCCACGCCGTATGAACGTCCACACGATCAGAACGCGTCCAC